GAGATGTTCGAATTGCTCCTGTGATACCCAAGCAAGCCAACCTTTGCAATTTGCTAAGTTCTGCCATGCTTGTCTTGAGTTTAAGTCTGGGCCACCATACTGTGGTGCCATATGTAATTATGGGTCTTACAACCGCAGTGTATATCCAATGCACAACGTGCGGCTGCAGTCCCCAAGTTTTACCAGACATGCTTCTGCATGTCCAAAAAGCCTTATAGGCTTTGTTAATGACCTTGTCCAGCTGCTTTTTCCATGTTATTCCCTTGTCTAATTCAAGACCAAGGTACTTGGCATTGCTGAAGAGCTGGATTGTCTTATTGAAGAGGGTCGGTTCCTTAAGGCCCTTTATATTTCTCTTCCTAGTAAACGGTATAATTACCATCTTGTTAGAATTGATGGAAAGACTTGTTCTTTCACACCATCGTTGGACCATGTACAGAGCTGTTTGAAGACGCTCTGATACGATCGAAAGGATACGGTATAGATAAATACAGGAGTTATATATAGAGGGAGTGATGTGTGAAAGTAGAGATAAGTTTGTGTGTACTTAGTATAGCCAATTACAGATAGGCGTATGTACAGACAGCACTGTGGGTATGAAGAGAAGTACCTCTTTATGTTGTTGTATAGCGGTATATAGAGAAGCGTCTATATAGGCCGTAATATAGGGAAGTAGAGCGTCCCCTTTTTCTACATTACTATAGCCATGTAAAAAGAGGAGTCAATGCAGGCAGTGGCAGTAATATGGGCAGGAGAGACGTCTGTGTGTATCATATGCCATATACAGAGAGGGGTATGTACAGGCAGGAATGTAGTCAAGAACAGAGACAAGTCTTTAGTTTTGCCACAAATAAGGAGACTTTTGCACCGCGCCTTTCGTCTTCCTCTCCTCCAATTACTATGATATTATTATTATTATTACAGAGGAAGGGCACAGCGCAATCGTTACTGGCCCTATTGTTGGTTCCTACGCTCCCCTAGATGGAGATGGGGTATCCAAGCTAGGAGGAGGAAGCTACACTCAGTTCGTTGGCTTAGATAAAAACAAATACAATTTTAATAAAAAAAAATATAACAATACACAAATAACAAACGACACATTTGACCAAGAAACTAATACAAGCTCATTTAGAACAAAACAATTTCCCGTCGGCACCACTTGTGTCGACACTAGACATATTAGGACGTTAAACACTCA